TATAGGAAACCTGTTACAGTTTTAATATGAATACTGTGAAATGGAAGTGTTGCTGTAATGTGTTAAACTTGATTCAACAACGATGGATTGAGGCTAAGCTTAAAACTGTCTTTTTTAATCTTTCTAGTACTTTGTGTACATCTTGTACATTTTCTCAGTTCTGCTTTGTAGAAGAAGATAACGTCTGGCTTCTGTTTTAATAATAAGCTGAAAAGGGAGGAAATTGTAGCTCACAAATGCTGTTTCAGGGTCTCAGAAGCACTTTGGCAGAGAACTGGAGAACATGTGGCAAAATTAATGTTTGATAGTGAAACTTGCAGGCTAGCAATAAAATTGGATGAAATCAGAGTTTCACCCTCTAAAAGTTAAATGCATAAGCGTGACTGAACTTGGCTATGTAAATTGGAGGAAAGAAGGGATTGGAAGTAATGCTTCCTTCTGGGGATTGTTGTAACTTATCCTGGAAATACTTTGCATGTCAGTGGCTTTTTATTGACTACCCGTTCTGTTTAATAAATAAACCTGTCTGATTTCTGCCAAGTGTTATGAATTTAATTTGTTTCACCATTTCTTGGTAATTCCCAAAGCCTTTGCAATTAAACTGACTGCTGCTTGCACACATACACCCTTAATTTATAATTCATTTATCATATCAATGGCAGCATTTTTTTTTTTTTCTAGTTTGGGTCACTTATTTATTAGTCTTTGACATTAAATGTAGCAGAGGAGGGGTGACAGTGTGGAAGCAGACAGTACATGTGATAAGTGATTTACAGTATTTACCCAATGGAGAAAATTGGTAGGAGCTCAGACTGCAGCCTGGCAAGAGAGGAAAAGCTCTTTTGAGTAGAGATATTGAGCATGGAACAGTCTCTATTGTAGGGAAAAAGCTTAGATGTATGGAATGGAGGGAATGAGGGTAGATCATGGGCTTTAGACTTGAACAGGAAGGTGATGTCTGGAGTGGTTTAGAGGGGAGAGGGAATGGCAGGAGAGCAAACGGACCGCGTCTCCTGAGCATTCATGTGTCTGTCTGCCTCTGGCATGATCAGACTGGACACTAACTTAGGCAAAAGTACAGAGTTTTGGCATGGAGACCTTGATTCGGAGGGTTTATGATGTGACATGGGATTATGAGTTAATAAAATGGCCAGACTGGAGCTGAATAAAAATTGGAACACCTTATCTCTCCTGTAGTATGAACAGAGACTCCGACTGCAGCGCTGAGAAACGGTAGGAAATGGGAATTGAGGAAGTGAGAGACTCAAATCAAAATGCCAGCCACGAGGTTTCACAGGGACAGGCATCAGTGTTGGTGCTTAGTAATTGTTTTGATAACACGCAGAATAAAAGATTGCCGTCAATAGTTTGTATTATCCGTTTTCTTTATAGGGGCATCAATGAAGAAGAAGTTGTTCTTAAAACAAACAAGCAAGTTTACTCCCTGCTGTTGCGTGCAACTGCTAACAAAAGCATGACTCTGCTAGAACGAATAGAGGTAATCTTAAATTTACTGGAACAGCTGACTCAAAATAACGAAGCTAGTGCTGGAGGAATTCAGTGACTGAAATGCTGCTAAACAGCAGAAACAGTGCCTTGCTATGCATGGGATCAGAGGCATTTTTTCCCATGTGATATCTGTGTTTATTGAAGGTGATAAAATCACCTACACTGTTACATCTGGGAACAGGAATTCCTTTTGATCCTGCCAGAACTCTGCAGTGGTTGGGTTGCTAGAGTTTCTTTCTTTGAAATGCCAGTTTGGGGGTCTGGATAGCCAACGTAACCATTTGCCATGTTGGAGAAATTCATAGTTTTTCTCTTACAGGTATTGGGCTTTGCAGTGATATAAATGTTTTGCATAAAAATGTAATCTCACAGTTGCTCTGGTTTGGTATTGAATGAAATACACTTTGTAAGCAAGGCTTCACTGGAACACTGTAACCCGTACCGTGAACTGAAGTTGTACAAGGAAACTTCTGTTGAGTATATGGACACAGTACTTTTATTACAGTCACTATCCTGCACAAAACTCTGTGCCTTTCCAGCTTTGATGCAAGAGTCTTGCAAGTATTAGCCATCACTGGGACTTCATTTATGCCAGAAAGTGAATGGTTTTAGTTGTGTTTGAATTGATTAAGAATAGTATTATCTTTTTCAGACTTGAAACTGTGAATAAATGAGAGCATATTTTTAAATAAAAGTTTATTTATTAAATATAAACTCACAAATTGGTGGTTGGTTTTTTTGGTTTTTTTTTTTTTTTTTGTTACGACTGTTATGACCCACATCAGAGAAGCAAGCTGCTCAGCAGAATTAAAACTATTTGAAAGGAAGTAGGGCCTGGAAGAACTGTAAAATTGGGCCTAACAAATGAGCGTAGTCTGAATCTCAGCATATGAGGACTCTGCTTTCCAGAAATATGTATTACTTGAAGTTCTCAAACACAACATCTGATGTCTTAGTACTACTTTAGAAATAAATGTGGTTCATTATTGTATAATAACAGTGTAAAACACTGTTTATTATAAGGTATTAAGGGTTCCTACATGTGTGGACACATGTATTTTTTTAATCTTTATACTTAATACACAAGTAGTTAATTCACTATTTAAGATGCTTGTTCTGAGGTGGTGATTCTATCTCTCAGCATGAGAGGAATAATGATGGGTTTTTAGGGGATGTGTTTTCACCCTGGAATTTATAGAAATGTAGAGTTATTTAGAAATTACAGTTTATAGAAATTTCTATCCTGACAATTTAGACCTGGTTTTACAGGTGCATCCTTAGATCCGTCTTCAGAAGAAACCTGATCGTTCTCACAGAGCACAAACGCACCTGAGAGAAGCAAAAGCACCTCGTGAAAGGATGGATGATGGGCTTTGTATGTATCTCCTCTGCTGCTTCTGATTTTTCAGTGGTGGATTTGAAACGGAAGGCAGAGCTCGGGGTTCTGTGTCTTTCCCTGCCTTCCACCCCAGGGCTGGCTCCATGCAGCACCCCTTCCACCCCCCTCGCTTTTGGCGAGGTCAAAGCTGCAGAAAAACGAGCAGCAGGTTTCTGATGTAAGATGGCTAAAAGCACTGTGCTTGAAATTGTTATCATTGGGAAGCCTGGCAAGGGTGAGGGGTAGAATAAATATGTTCAGGACAAAAATCTCTTCTTCAGAGCAGAGGAGCTGAGGGGTGACTAAGCAAGGCTGCTGAGATCAGTAGCAGTGGCTCAGGTGCAGAGAACAGAGATATTCCTGGTTAGAGAACATTAATGTCCTCCTGGGACTGAAACAGGTGCCTAAATGGGCTTTTTTAGAAAAAGATTTTGCCTGCCTGAACGCATTTTACTGGCATAGCACTGCACAGCTCCGTGCTGAAAGGCAGTGCTTCCTCCTGGGGAAATCGGAGGTTGCCCGCACGCTTTGGGAAGGGAGGGAGGAATGGAAAAGGGTGGAGGGGGAGCAGGCACCAGTGGGGAGGGTTTTCTGCAATTTCCCCCCACCCCAAAAAAAAAAAAAAAAAACAAACCACCACTGAAATGAGTAAGTAGTCAGAAAACACCCATTTTGTTTCTGCAGCTTTTAGAAGCAGCTGCCAGCAGCTGCCTGTGGGCACTGCCCCGGGTTTGTAGCACTTGCCAGAGGGCTGTCAGCCCTGCCAAGCAGCGACAGGCTCTTGGTGTGATGGGGGGGGAGGTGGCGTAACCTCCTCCCGCTGCCTTGTAACAAAAGGGGAGTAATATTTTACAGTCCAGGAGAGAGGCTTGAGCTGCAGAAGGGTTCCTTGGCTAGAGCCAAGTCAGGCCTGTACGTCGGCTATCGGGCTGGGAAGGGTTACAGAGCCATTCAGCCGCTGCAATCCTACCCCCTTTTCTCTTTTTACTGAAACGTGGTACCAAGTACAGCGGGGAAGCTGCTGGTTTTCACTGCCAAACAATGAGCAGGGCTGAAGTTCAGATTCCGAGCTCGTGGAGGCCGAGTCCCAGCAGCCGTTCGTGTGGCCTCCGCCTCCCCCAGCAAGCGCCAGCTCTACCTCTTCTGTCCCAGATCCAGTCCCCCCAGGGATCTCCAGTTTGCCACAGGTCATGAAGGAGCGCGGCAGGGGTAGGGCAGCTGGATTTCCTGCTAAAGCCCTCGGCGGGCTCGGTTTTGGATTGTTCTCTTAAACGGGGGTAAGTCTGTGTTACTGGGCAGTGGTGGTTCCCGGGGAGGGATGTGCAGCAGGAGGCCTGACGAACCCCGAGCGGTCCTGCGGGCTCTGTAATGACCCTACGCAGCTGAATCTGAATGTTCAGCAGCTTAACTTCATTTTGTGGTGCCTAAACCACGACAGTCTTTAAAAAAAAAAAAAAAACAAACCCAAACAAAAAAACAAAACGAAAACAAAAAAAGAAACAAAGAGGCAAAGCCAACAACTGCTGCATAATCATTCCCTTCCTTCTTTCCCCGGGGCATGTCTACACTGTCCTGCAGCTCCTTCCAGTTACCACAGTGATTCTAGCATCCTACAAGATGATGTTCTCTGATGATGAAGTATTCCTCCCACTGTTCAACATTATCTTCCAGCAATTACGGTACTTCTGAGATTCTATTTCATCTCAAGAAATTGAACTGCTTTATAAAGCAAAATGGCGGTTTTACTGTGCCCAGTCTGACTGATGAGAATCCACATACACAATCTGAAATGACTTCAGTTTATAACTGGGTTCAGATTAACTCTTATTCTAGGTATGGAGCATCTTACCCAATTGGAAACTCAGAATTCAGCTAATAGAAACTTATAGCAAATGCAAATTTCTCTGTTATTCTATGAAACTCAGCACTATACTAACCACACGGATGACTTCCATGAGGATTATAATTGAGTATATTAGGACTTAAATCTTTTATGAATTTTTTAGCATTAGCAGAGGTAGCACTAGAGCTAAATAGGATTACTTTTTCTCTTTTTACAGATAAACAATTAAAGCATAAACCACAGCCCAAATAGAGAACTCTAACACCATTATTAATGATGATAAGCCAATTTATTTCTCTGTTAATAATTCTCCTTCATTACAGGAATAGAAACCAAAAACTAATGTTTTAAGACCCTGTACTGTAAGGATATTGAGTGGCAATAGCTGATCTGCTATTAGCTCCACACAGTGCAACTTCACTGCAAGAATTGTCCTATTCCATTGAGAATCTACAATCATCATTTTCATATAAATACTTGAAAAGCAGAGCAACGAACAAGTAAGCTTTACCACAGAAAATACTTCCGTGTAAGCATGCTTTTCTTCTACAAAAGAGAAAGATGTGCACGTAAAGCTGATTCTACAGAGAAATGAAAACCTTACCTTGTGTGCTAGGAGATACCTGAGGTGATACACTGCACTTATTTCAATATACTGCTCTGATGCAGTTAGTGTCTCACAACTAGTCTTCCAGGAATGTCCACATAAAATACTACACACGTGAGAAAAGGGGAATAGCTAGATGCTTTAAGAGATGCTGGACAGATTCTGGATTTCTTAGATAGGTGCAAGCTTCTCACAGCAGGCCCTGACAAGGGCACTGCTGCATGTTCCTGAAAAATACTTTCTTGCAGGACAACAGCTCTGCAAAATGGAAAGAAAAAAAACAAAAAAACAAAAAAACAAAAAAAAAAAAAAAAAAAAAAAAACAAAAAACCCAAAACTTCTACAGCACCATATTCATCTTCAGCTGCACGCTGTGCTCTTATTTAGACAAACAGCAGTTCTGGCAGTGAAGTGCTTTCTGGAGCCCCGCGGCGAGGTCTGGGGGAGTCGGACTCTCTGCAGTGCAGCTAACTGGGATTCCTGCCGCTTCCATGGCTTCCGCAGTTGTTGGACCGATAGCAGCAAACTGAAATGATGATATTTTCAGGTACAGCATCAGTTCTTCCTAGTTATTTCAGTACATAACCTTTCTTCCTTTACCCACGCTGTCCCTGGGTCAACTTGCATGGCTGAGCTCACTAAACCGCGCTCACCGTTTCAGGTTGAAGATTTTCAGTGTTAAAAACTGCCTGTCGATTGAACTACTTAGAAATTACTTAGGAAAGATGATTATTTATCTCACCCCTACAAACATTTAAAGGTCTTAGTTCCGCAAAACAGGAAAAGTGAGAGGAATTTCAATGTGCCTCAGCCTGATTCAAGCAAGAACTACTCCCAGCTTCACATAACGAACAGAAAATAAAGCCTATACCCAGTGGAGACCGGGTAAGTTATTCAGGGGAAAAAAATTCTAGGTGAAAACAATTACTGTTTTTCAAAAAAGGCTCTCAGCTATATGGTAACATTTGTGCTTGCTGTAATCTGTTTTTTTCAGAGACATAAACAAAAGAGAAAAAGAAGGTTTGTAATAGGTTTAACAGCCTTCCTATCTCTCATTTGCCCACCCCAAACTTACTCCCTGTTGTATTTCATGACTTTTAAATAGAAGATACCTTGATATGGTTGATAAAATCCCCAGAAAGCTTCTGAATGTGCTGGAGGCAAAACTTGACACCAGAAGGACTGAAGAACACGATGCTTGCTGGAATTCCCTGAGTAAAAGTAACCATAGGTTGGCATAGATTACTCACTATTCCAGCAGTATATCAGTACACTTTTCACATAAATCCCTCCAACTCTCTCTATATGGACGTGAAGTGTTTCGATTGATGAGAAACAGCAGTTAAGCCAACAGAAATGTTTTTCTGTGGCGTAGACAGCCTGCCAAACCCCACCACAGAATGCTGAAATTCAGGTGTGACTTCAAGTACTTTGTCAAACAGGCACTTGCTGATAAACGTACTGGAAGTGTTCTGGAGCCACACTCACGTTCCATACTCATGTTAAAAAGCAAGTTATTTCCCGAAATACATTCCCATCTATCTCAGTTTTGCATATATTCTCTGTTCCCCAGCTCATGTTCTGCCTGCCCTGAGATGCTCTGGCAAAGATGAGGCGTTGCCTTAAAACTGCAGACCCCTGGAAGGGCTTTCTCTCTCTCAGAATAAGCCTGCCTTAAAATAGCAGCAGGAACCTTCTGTGGCCAAAAGAAAACTGCAAAATTCTGTCTGGAGTGAAGGTCCCAAGCTCCTGAGCTGCAGACCCAAAGCACATGCTGGCTTTATCATGATTTTCTGTCTGACAGGAAAGATACGCTAGTTCCACTCAAACTACATCTGTTGTTATTTTACAGCGCGTGACTTGGAAGCTAGTCTTAGCTCACGGAGGCCAGAATGACAGTTTAACACAGGGCTGTTCATTGTCTCACAAAGTGCTAAGTGCTTGTCATTTTATGTCAGCTTTCCATGCGCTAAATATAGAACCACAATATCATCAGTTAAGAACAACTAAAAAGCCCGAGATACGCATTTTAACAGCTTTACACTGAACCTAACATCTAATTACAGCAAGCAAGGAGTTCCATAAAAAGAGTTCAGAAAGTTACAACGGGCATATGTACTACTGACTCACTTTTATAGCTGCTATAAACTAAATATGGTGGGGATCAGAACTGTGATACCCACCTAGGAACACCAGGATACTACCAAGCACCAGTTAGGCTGCCCATGCCATAACCTTTTAGGACCTCTTGAAAAAGGACTTTAAGATCAATATGTAATTTAACAAGGCATTAATGCACAGATTTTTAAAAGTGGTGCAACATGCTCAAGTAGGCCAAGTTTCCCTAAGAAGGAAAGGCTGTATTTTGAATAAAGTTAATTCTAGGTATCATGTAGACTCCTACAGATGGAAAATTCAGAAATCCCATCTCGAAAAACTAAAAGCAAGTATCAGTACCTTCAAAGCCTTTACTATGCGCTGATCCTTGCTTAATGACATTTACTACAGGGTTTTAAAGAGGGAAAAACAATAATCCTAGCAAATATAGCTCAATGCACTTGTCAACAGCATGTCACTTGGAATTCTAACACTTAAAATGAGATCGTTAATGTACAGATCATAGATTGAACAATCGGAGAATGAACACTGGAACTATGCAGGGCAGATTACCCCTGGATTCTGATTTGTAATACAGAGCAGAGATGTCCAGTGATATTTCAATTACACTAATAAAAATTAACAATAAAGCTGTTCAGTAAATATCCTCGCTAAATGTAATTTGATATGGTATTGCTTAAAAAGCAGTCTCGCCCAGCTCACAGGAATAAAGTGAATAGGTAATTATACATGCAGTTATTTCCCAGTCATTCTGAACATATGTATATTTTGAAAGTTAGACAAAATGTGAAAGGTTTTGGTTTCTTCTTCTAACGGAGGCACTGTGTCTTTTAGGCTTGTTTATAATTGCCATAACAAGTAACTGAGGGACTCACTCTCTGTCTGAAAGTTTCACTAAAGGATTTTCTTGCTAGTCATTGGGGAAACAAACCAAGAAGGCTATGCAGGATATTCTTGTATCCCCACACGTATCATTTCCAGACAGCTGGAAAAAAAGGAGTATATTCTGCTAGGCATTATCAGATACTGCACAAATTCTCAAATTACATCAACATCCAGTACCTGTTGCGAGAAATAAGCGCTCAAAGATTCTTGCAGGTCAGTGTGTTGTGTCGTTTGATAAACAGTAAGGCTTTCCAGAGGTATACCTGGAATCAAGATGCACGTTTCATAATTAAACAGGCGTTCATTAATTTCTGTTATTTCAATAAAACACTCTCAGCATACTCATTACACTTAAGTGTACTGTTTCAGGTTAAAAAGACAAAGAAAAAATTCTGTGAAGGATCTGTAAGACAGACTAAAGCATCTGTAATCAGAGGACCTGGAAACACACTGGAAAACTGGTGAGTCCTGCAACAGTTGTGTAAGTTACCTGCCACCTCACAGAAGAGAACGTGAGAGAAGAACCAGGCAAACAACCTTGCTCACATCATGCTACAGCTCAGTCCCAGGGCTGTGGGCAGCAATACAGCCTCATAGCTTTTAATCCCATCCTCTATATTCTAGCCAACATAATAGCAAATTCAATTCTTACTTATTCAAATTTGGTTCACAAGCCTTAGATACAACTTTTCTCATAACTAATTAAAATAAGGCTCCAAGGGAAGTCCAACCTTTTTCTCTAAGTACTGTAGGAAGTACTTCTCTTTTCAGGGCTCCACAAGGAAAAAGAAGAGCTGAGGAATTAGGTTTCTCCCCTGTAAACACACAAACAAGAACTTTAATTAACTTATCTTTTTAATAAAGAGTAAACATGATACGTTTAATACATTTTAAAGGTATCAAATGTTCAACACTGCAGTAAATGCCATGTGCTTCACCACAGACACAGCCCTAAGATAACTGAAAACATTTGCAGTGCAACTGCATCCACAGTTCCGAGGACAGAGGCTACTTAGCATGTAAATTAAAAAATATTCCATAACTATAATATGAATACATTGGCTAAAAAGATCTCACTAAAGATAAACTATATTTCTATTCCCCTTGCCATTCTACAAAGAAAAAAAGTACTGGGCAAGTTATCTCCTCCTCAGAAACACAATCTTCCTCAATTCTTCTATTTAAAATCTTAGTCCTACTCCACACATGACAGCTTTCTCTATATAAAAGAATGTTCAGGCAGACAAAGAGGAGGACAGAAATACTGTGCTTGAAAGTTTCAATCTATCTTAAGGAGCCCTTCGAGCGGCCTCCCAGGGCTTAAAGGGGGGACAGGGAAGGGGGGGAGGGACTCTGGGTCAGGGGGTGGGGATGGGACAAGGGGGGACGGTTTTAAGCTGCCAGAGGGCAGATTTAGGTGAGCTCTAAGGCAGAAATTGTTCCCTGTGCGGGGGGTGAGGCACTGGCCCAGGGTGCCCAGAGCAGCTGTGGCTGCCCCCTCCCTGGAAGGGTTCAAGGCCAGGTTGGACGGGGCTGGGAGCCCCCTGGGCTGGGGGAAGGGGGCCCTGCCCGGGGCAGGGGGGTGGAACTGGGGGGGTTTGAGGTCCCTTCCAACCCAAACCATTCTGTGAATCTGTGATCTGAAACTCTTATTTTCTTACTTCCCCAAGCAAAAATAATTCTGCTTCCAGTGCTAGGGTGGAAGTGGATATCCTCGCTTGCCCTTGCCTTTAAAATGGCAGTGACCTCCAACTTTAATTACTGTTACATTGCCAACACCTGAAAGTTCCACAGAGATTTTGGAAGCACCTTTCTGATACATGGCTGTTTGTAACTTAACTCTAGTAGGACATGACACACCAGGGAGGTAGTTTCCATATCTTTTGTATGTTTCTAATACATTATCAGAAGGGGAAACCAATTCTGCTTAAAAAATACCCCTAAGTAACAGTATTCCTGTCACCACCCTTGGGTTACACCCCCATTCCTGCAGCCCCCCTGTCCCTGTGCACTCTGTGCACCCACACACCAGCAGCGGGAAAGGGCAAACACTGACAATAACCATCACACTCCGAATGCAAACACCTGGCTCAGAAGAAGGAAACAGCATTGACAGGATGAGATTCTCAATAATTTGCTAGGTTTAGGGCTTAAACCAGTTGTTTCATAAAGTTTTTCACTACTAGATTTTATCTACTAAAAGTGAAAGTTGACGCTTTGCAAAAGATAAAGAGCATTTTAATCAAGGAAGAATTTGATTTTTACATAGGAATTTAACAGCAGACTTGTTCTGCACAGCGTTTACCTTTTCTATAAATAACAGAGAAAATGTCAAGATTAAATTCTACACAGCTGCATACCACTGCATTCATCTTTTAAAATAAATGAGTTCCTCAACACATTATTTTATTACTAATTCACATGTTTAAGAGACTACTACTAGAAAAATAAATGCTTTTTTTTAAGTGCTGAAAGTAGATTCTTGGTTTATAACAGTAAGCATCAGAGACGCCCCGGGGTAAAAACAGAAAGGACAGCACAGTAAAAATCGAATGGAAAGATCCTCATAGGAGTCAACACAGATATATCTGACTGTCCTAACTGCACACTGAGGTTTTATTAGAAACCATGGATATGCTTGTAATAAATTACAGGAAGAAAGATTTGGGACAGAATTTATAAAAGAGATTTTAAAATAATAAGAAAAAAAAACTAACTATTTCAGTGTTAATCCTCCTACAACTTGTGTCAGTTAATTGAAATGTCATTGAGATATCTCTACAGAAACACTAATCCTTTTTTGACTTGTGTTTACAAAGTACAGAAAAATTCTTTAGTAGGCCTGAACAATACAACAAGCATTGGCTCCAGTGGTATACCCTACTTCTGTACCCAACACAAATGTTACACTGTAACAAAACTCAAAAAAATATTTGCCTTGAAAAGAGAGTAAAGCTAGCCAGCTAGTTAAGGAGTAAATTCTGGTATTTTCCCAATTACTTAAGTTGAAGTGGGCACCAAAGCACAAAAGAGGAATAACAAAATAAATATCATTGCTTTGGATTTTATTTTTATTCTGACAATAAATTCTAATGACATAAAAAATGTAGAGCTATTCATTTCATTTACTTATCTTTTGATGCATACATAAAAATAAATTTATATAATAGGGAGTATGATGTAATTTAATCTGTACTGCAGAGGCTGTTATAAACCACTTGATAAATTGAGAGCACATAAGTATGCACAATCCAATAAATCATTGAGTATGATTATACATATCATCAACAGGCAGTCTCCAATGACTGAAATTCACTGTTTGGTTATCAAAACTGAAGGGTATTCCAAGGCAGTCATTTTTGCAAGGATAATGGAAGCACTGCAGCAGTGTGTTAATTTAAATAACCTGCTGATGTATGAAACTGCCCTCGGGACCCTCTCTGTAAAAGGCTGTAAAACACCCCCCCTCTCTCTCTTTCCCAGCAGTGGCTGCCAGAAGCTGCTGCTGGCTCTGGACTGAACGTCTCTGCTCTCACCAGAAAGCGCTGCTCCCTGGCTGGCTCCGCCGTGACCGCCAGCTCCTGACTCTGCAGGAAAAGGGGAAACACCCACGGGACCGAAGAGGCTCCCGAGTGACGGGGTCTGAGAACCAACCGGCTCCCAAGGGACGAGGCAGAGCCAAGACAACCCTCAACTGGGCTGAGAAAGTAACCGAGAAGATGCCACCGTGGATGACCAGCCGCAGGCCCACCAATAAGGAATTTTTCCATTCCTGGTACTACATGCATTGTTTTCTTTAGAACTGATCCTAGTTTTTTTCACATTCATACAACAGAAGAGACAGGTATTTTTCTTGCCTTCCTTCTCAAAAAAAAAAAAAAAAACCAAACCTCCATCTGCAAACTGGCAAACTTCATTTCATTACCAGAAGTAGATTTCCTAGCACTAAAAAAATCAGCTAAAACCTCTTTTTGTTTTAAAATATCCGTTGAAGAGTAGATACAGGTTATTCTCTACTTATGGCACTTTTGTTCTGAAAATTTCATTTTTAATTTTCAGAATTTATTAGTTAATCTTGTGTTGGCAACTATCATTTTTAACATGAAATACTCCATACAGTTAAAATATTTGCCAATGAACTGCTGAGCACTCTGCCCATAAAAAACAATCCTTGCCAGCTCCAATCACATTTTTCTTTTACCTTTAAACCTCTGCTACTATGCAGACTTTGCTAATCAACACTCTCTTTCATACCTAACACTATGCCTAGCAGCCAAAAATAACGTGTCAGGGTTCTTGACATCATTTCTACTAGTGAATCCCCTCGCACTTTATTCAGCAACCTCATAAAGTGTGGTCAGCAGCAGGGCTTTTAAATCAGCAGATACAATAATTCATCCAACGTCCAGAATAATTGCACTGACTGTCATTTGTTTCTCTGACTAGGGTTAGCCAAAGGCAGAGTATTTACCTTGAATCATAGGGTTTTTTCAAAGCACTGGTCATTCTCTGGTCAGTTAGTGGACACTGCATGAGCTGCTAGATGAAGGTTTCTGTTTGCCTTTTTAAATCTGGGGCAGAAAGTTCTTCAGGGAATGACATATCTTTGTATCAGACTGAAAGTTTCCCTCCAACATCACTATGAGGCTCTGCTATACACCTCCCTGCTTTCCCACATGAGTGGGGTCGTATGAAAGTCCAGAGGAAGATCTGCCAGCTAACAAGCTGCTGCTGAGATACTGAACCTTAGGTGGGATTTTTTTTTTTCTGGTACAGAGATTATTTTAGCAACGAGTTTCAGAGTGCGTGGGGACTAATTCTGTTGACTTCTTTTGGTAACTGCTCCTGCCAGGCGATGCTCAGGCGGACGCTCTGAAGGCAGCACACACCTCAGTCGTGGATCCCCCGGAACATCGCCTGCTGTGGCAGAAGTTTTGAAGCCAAAATCATTGCGCTGGCAGGTCCCGCTTATGACATCCTTCATCCAACTTCTCTAACCCAGGCTGTACAAAAACACAGCCTCTTTTCTCACAGCTTGTACCGACTCATCCACACAAAAAATAATCAGCCCCTAAGCCTGAAAATGTTTATTACTATTGGAAATTTTAACAAATTACAGTAAAGAAAAATGAGGAAGTAGACTAATTAGACTTCTAAAATTACCCAACAATCTGATAATACACTTAGAAGCAGCAAGCAGATCAATATTACAGCTTTAACCGTAACAAAAATGGTTAAACAGAACATAAACCATCATTTTAACTAACCCTTTCTGCAACTTCTTCAAAATCACCCTCCTCTGGTGCTGAAAAATAGACTCTGAAACCACATCTTTATTCTGAGGAAAGGAGTTCCCCTTATCTACTCTGAACTATGGCACGGTGAGAAATCCCCAGCATCAACTGGTGTGAAGCAAAAGTCAGGTCACCCAAAGGTCACAGAGAATCAACACACCTATAGTCACAATCTTTTAAATCATATGATTATAGCAATGCTTAGGAATATTATGAATATATTCTTATGAAAATAGCAATTTCCAATCATTACAGCTCTGATCTTTTAGTAAAAAAATACTTCGTCTACTGGGTCATATAGTCTTATTATTCAATTGCAGAGTCTAAGTTTTTATGTAAATTAATATTTTGTATAGGTATTTCAAAGTATTTTTTATCATCTTTTAGAGATACCAGCCACATTCCCAGAAGTCTAATTCACGGGTTCTACATATAAGAGATATATGCAGTATGTACTTTTCTGTTTCAGTGTACACTTGATTTCATTTATAGGAAATTCTGAAACAATGGAAGGTACATTGGCTTAATTTAAGTAGAATATTTTAGACACTTACTTGAGCAAATAAATTCAGCTAATTTTTCAGCATTTCCAGACTTTTCTCCTTGTGGAATAAGACCAATTTCCTCCACTATAACCAAAAGCAGCAAAGAAAAACAATGAAATCACTGAGAACAATTCAGATTTACTATCACAGAAACATGGGTTGAAAAGGGAGACACAACTTGATCCAGGCACACAAATACCTCTTTCAAAAGCAAAAAATCAGAGCCTTTGAAGTAGTAACATCCTATGAAAGTTTCGATTTTGGTTCTAGAAAGGCATGCTTGAAAAAAGCACAGATGAAGAATTCTGAGGAGAGCTAAGCTGTTTTGGAGAGTTTTTAACCTCTCATACCTGAAGCTGTGAGACAGAAAGCACAGACTGCTGAACAGGCTGCAGTTCCTGGCCTGCTCTGGCTGCAGCCAGCTTCCCAGTGAGCGTATCGCGGCTCTGTAGCAAAGGCTGAAACCCTATTGGAAAATCTGAGAGTATAACACTGGTCTTACTTATGCAAATAGGGAGGAGATGAATTCCTCAAAAGTTACTGGTCTAGTGGAAGGCGTCCTTGCCCATGGCGGGGGGGTTGGAATTAGATGATCTTTAAGGTCACTTCCAGCCCAAACAATTCCATGATTCTATGAATCTGGGACTTAACTGATTCGAGACGCTTGCTAGGTGTCACCAGTTGGTGATCCAGTGTTGGCCTGCCTGAATAAATACACCACTTACAGAGGTAGCCAGTAATTATCCAAATTATTTTTGGACTAGAAGCAAAATCATCAAGACTTTTAAAACTCTCAAATACTAGTCTTTCCGTAATACTTCCTGTGTGGCTCAGTGAAAGCTAAAATGCAATTTTACAATAAGAAAGGCTTTCACAAACTAAAATCTACATTGCATCTTTGTTATGCACCAAAAAATGTGTATTGCATCATATTAAAACCAGTTTCAAGACAAATAAAGCAGCTGAGCCAGTGAAGACAACGGGTTGGATACTGGCAACTTCTGTTTGGCAAATGCCTCACAGGAACACTGTGGGGATGAGGGGCCAGAGCACCTCACTTTGTACAGCCTCAGACAATCATGAGATAACCCCTTTCATCCAATTTCATTTCCAAAGTGAAAGACAAAAAAACCACATGCAAGTTAAGAACAAAGGGGTTTTTTTCTTTTTTGACCAAATTTTTGAAGTCATTGCCATCACATTACACTAAAAGTAATGACAACCCAGAAGCTAGATCCTTAGCTGAAGTAAGCATGTATAGTTCTAATGCGTATAAAATTACCTGTTTATAAAATTATCCATTTATAAAACTTACCTGTATATTTTTCTGAGCGCCCCTGAATAGCAGCTAATATTCCAAAAATTGTACTTACATGACAGATTTATCTAGACTTCTTTTTTTAAACCCCGGCTTACCTAGAGAAGCTGTAGCTTTTCCTACCACGTAGGTTGGTTTGCTATTCCATCTTTGCTTAAAAGATTTTGACCAGGCTGAAAAACATTAAATTAAATTTAAGCACAAGGCAACAAAATATGAATGTTAAATGAATATTTGGACTTCTGTCTAATCTACAAATACAGCAATATGATAATGATTAACACTCCAGTACATATTTCAGCAAATCTGGATATATAAAATGAATTTTTAATGTGTTTTTTTTTTGTTGTTGTGTAAATAGTAGTCTAGAAGATGTTTTTAAAAGCCTAATTTGAGTAAACAGTTCTTAGCTGTTTTCGTTAAGTAGCATTTTAAATGCACATTTACTCTATGCCAGATCACATGCAACTTGCAATGTTCATTTATATTTTGGCATTAAGAACTTAAAAAAAGCCTCAAAACTCATAGAAAAAAACAGCACATAGTAGAAAAGGGGATTTACACATATAAGCTGGTAGTTTAAAACTGGAGGCTTGGACAAATAACAAATATAATCTTCTATGACAACAAATAAATGGTAAAAAACTAATCCCTGCACTACACTATAAAGCAATTCTTTCTTATACCAGAAAAATACTGAAACTGATTGTATTTCAAAATACACCAAAAATAAGTTATCAGCTCAGAAATAAAATGTATCAGAGACCAAAACAAAATTATTAAGAAATGGGTTTCCTCCTTCAGGCAGTAAGTGTGTAACAGATTATACTTCTTGGATCCAGCTACCTCATCCCCATGCCTGAAACCCCAACGGGTCAAAACCAGATATTCTTTTGCTATCTTGTCTAAAAACAGCATAGCATAGGACGCTGAGTCCCTTTCTAGTATTCTTTAAAAAAAAGAATAATTAGAAATAGACTACAATAACAGTAAACAACGATCAAACTATTCTAAAGAAGGAAGAAGGCAAGGATTGATTAGCTTTGAAAAGAACCCAAATAGGAAACAAAGACTCATATTATTGATTAAAATATGTATTTCAGCAACTCCCAAAAATTGTAATTGAGATCAGGCATGAACTCTAGACCAGAGATTACATTTGACCAAAAATCCTAAAACACAGCCCTCTGCTGTTGAAAATGCTAAAATGTCCTTACTCAAAAGTGTAACCTTACTCACTGTGCTTTAATTAGTATGACTGCAGCCCAAACATGGAGCAGATAATGATACAATTTAAGTGTAAACAGAAACTCAAAACCAGAAGTTACCATTTCGCATAAGAATGTTTACAAGGATTCCACAGATCATTGGTATGGTAATTTCTATTTAGCACTCTGCAGGATTCTTAGAACTAATCTGTTGGCTTTTATGTATCACTATTTCCTCATCACTTTTTAGCTAGTACTTAATTCACTGAAGAAATTCCACATTAAAGTCAGAGAAATTTTTTTTTCTGTAAAAATTCATGTGAATTAGATAATCACAGATGTAGCAGTGGCCAGTTTCTACAACATGCTCCCTCCCTTTAAGTGAGAAAAGCAGTAAGCAAAACTAGGCGTGCAGTAAAACATTCCCTGCAAAATATTACAAGGCCTTTATGACATCAAAAGAGCTGTGAGATAAAGCGTTTTTTAAAAAGGCATACTCCAAACACCTACTGGTGGGTGAAATAAAATTACAAATTTCACAAAATACAGAATCAGAAAGACCAAGGAATGTAAATATGCACTTACCTTCATTTTTACTATATTCTTTTAAACATATTTTGATGGCTTCTAATGCTCTTGGACTGGTAAAAACTAGGCCCCCGTAACATTCTGGATGAGAGAGCTACTTATAAACAGTAAATTTAAGAATGAAAAAAAAAAAAAAAAAAAAAAGAGCAAATAAATTTAAAAATTAAGTTGATCAATTCTTTATAATCTTGTGAAGAACAAAACAGCATCAATAAATATCTGAAATTGAAACAAGCTAATATTTAATTACTATCAGTAGTCAGAGTATTTATAAGAGAAATGTATAACAAATCTCAAATTCAGAACAAAATTTGCAGATTATATTAATTCTGAGAATCTGTAGGAATGGACAAGAATTCCTGTCACTGAAATGAGCTGGAACCATACCGTTCGCCCATACGAGGTACTTAAAAATTCATACAACAGAAATGAACTGTTATTGCAAGTGGTGACACAGAGGGTGTTACCCAGGCAGCTCCTTACCCCTCCACCCCCTCAAAGAACAGTTAAGATTACTAACAGGCTCTCAAAGATCAATATGAAAAAAGAAAACATGTTCTTGGATCACTTGTAAATGCAGACCATGACACGTTCAAGCACCAAAGTACAGTGCTGTTGGAGATTCTCAATAAAGGAAACCTCCCCGAGAAAACCTTTCCAACATATTAAAATGAAATATATATATTGAGGAAGGAGTAGAAAGAGAACACTGATTATGCAATTTTATTCCATGTAATTAGTAGATGAATTACACAATTTTGCTACAATGTAAGGGTTAACCTCAGGTAACTTTCAGTTGTCACTACAGTTTTCTCATTTTTTGTTGTGACAAAATGCCCCCATACCTGACCTAAATGTGAACCCACATAATTCTTTAACAAGTATGGGCAACCTACCTGATGTTGTATACAATGTTGCATTGTGTTAGATACAATATATTGCATTGTATACAACTGTGCTTGTGGAAACGCAAAAAGAGATACCACAAAGGGCATTATTAAATCAAGATATAAGACACAGCATCTTGGCAACCATGACCTAAATTCTGTTGAAAATAAGACAACTGAAATCATTTAAAACTTACCTTTTCAAATAAGCTTTCAAGAGAGATGAATTCAAATGACAAAACTGGAATCAAAGTTGCTTCAAATCCATATAATCCTAATTCCTACCAAAAAAAGGTTTACAGCTCTTGAAAGAGATTTCAAACAGTAGGTTTTTTCTTTTTCAAAGAATTGACAAAGTCAGCAAAATATTTGCTTTCATTAAAGTAAAATACAAAGGCATCTTATTTGTTTCTACTAGTGAATCTAGTTTGGCTTTGTTACTTATTTAGTAGTACAACATAATACTAAACTGTGGAACTGAGGCCTCCTACATAGCTACTGAAGAGTTATGGTATACACCAGCATATAACTCTGAAGTCCCAAAGTGACAAATGATCGCCCAGTCCTGCAAACGTTCTTGTACTCACAGGACTAAAGGCAATAGCAGGAAGGACCACAGCAACAGGAACACTTTTTGTAATTCTATCCGTACTTTGCTGAGAGCTTCAATGGTGAATTCAGAGCGAATGTTCCATAACTAAATTATTTTTTTCAGCAACAGCAAATTTTCTAGCATACGTTCTTTTCTTAGCATAATTTCAGACACGCATTCTTAATTTTGATTATTTTTTCTTGGAAAATCTCATCATTTCAGAGATGCACTCCTAATTTTGATTAAACATGTTTTTCACCTGAAACAGTTAAATTCATCTATCTTGCTGAACACATATACTACCTATTTAATAGGAAAGTGACACAATTGCTTATTTCTTTTAAAGTTTACTCACTTTAATATACGGATCCGGTCCTGAATCTTTGTCTTTGGGATCCTTCAGCAACAGAACCTTCATTATTTACCAAATAACTGCACAAGAACTCTGAAATACGATAATAGAATTTATCTAAATTAGATCTAGAGGACTTTCTACTGAACAGTGACTTTAATAGCTCAGCTTCAAAGAAACTGGGTTGCTAACAGTTGCACTGCTCTCTATACAATGAGTAAGCAGTTAACGTACATTCTCTGGGCATGAATACCCACCCTGATAAGACCAACAAATAACATGCTGCCTTTAGATAATACTGCTTCAGGGAAAAACTATAATGAAAGTCATCAAGGCGAATACATTTTAAAGGGTAATATTTTGTAAAAGAAGTAACAACCCCTAATGCAGTCACGTTCAGCAGAGTAATAAGCTCCTATCTATAAAAACTTAGTCTATTAATTTCCATGCTAGTTTTCACCCTATGCTAATCATAATAAGTATGCAAGGGCTTATGTATCAAGTGATTTAATTTGATTCATTCAGGGTCTCACCCTTTCCATGGGAGAAAACGTGCAGGACAGTGGTTCAAAATGTTTTTAAAAAATACAAACATATGAGTGTGCATATACACACATTTATATATGTGAATATAATATATATAATATTCATATGTCTTCTTTGATATATCAATAGTAAACCAGATAAGACTGAAAAAAATATATTCTGCCATTAAAATGGAGGATGATAGTTGTCATTTCCTTAATAGTTGACTTTGGTGCTGAATTCAAAGCCTCTTACAACAAGTTAGCAAACATACCAGGCATCAAAGTAAACAAATGCAGTAATACAAACTAACAGAAATCCATTCTCTAACTGCACATTTACCTAAATTATCTATGTGTTACTCTCCTGATAGATTACATACTAGCAAATTATCTTTAAAAGGAGTAATGATGAATATTCAAATGTACAGAACATCTTAAATTTTACTCATTTGCATGACATGCAGTGAAATCCTCAAAATTTCCTCAAAGACAAAAAAAACCTCATCATACAAAAGTGAAAAGAGAAAAGACAAAAAGCAGCTTTAGACAACATTGGACAAAACAGGATCTGGTACAAGTAACCAGAGCTCAGTGTCCTACATCTGTCTACAGCCAGAAGCACTGTGAAATACAGGCAATGAAAAGAGCACCCAAAGCAAACCACCCCCAGGAACTCAATATCCAACTGTCAGACTACATCGATTTTGTGGATTTTACACTTCATTTTTTTTTTTAATTTAGGTTTTAAAATGGGGTGTCAACACTGAGGTGTTTCATTCTGAACGTCTTACCAGTAGACATTTCCACAAGACTTCCAGCACTCAGTATTGACACAATGAGAACTGGTCGGGCTTTGCAGTTCTGAAATGCCAAGGCCAGTGAAGTCAAAGACAGTGACTAAAAGCGCACATGGAAGAAGACACAAGGACTTTGTCGAGGGCCGTATTCACAAAAAGTGTAATTCTCACTGATTTCAGACTAGAGCAAACACCAAAGTAGATCCCATGCATGGCTTTCAAGAGCTGGACTCCCAAATACTTTTGAGTATCCAGTTGCTACTAGCTTGAAGGAGGTAGGGCTAAGTGACTTCTCTCCGTCACTTTAACATTGTAACAGTCTTCACTTTAAAAATCGAACATTCTTGTAAAAACATATGTTGCGCATAGCTCTTTGTAATACAGATTGTTGTTCTGATGTTACTATCTTTACTACAACTCCATCTTCAGTGCTTATGCTCTAAGTATGATACACTTACATTTCTACTAGTATGCTTAAAGTCTACCAGCACCAAGAAAAATGTGGTTGACTCTAGCCTACCACACCTTCCTACTTCGAAAATACATAATGTTTAATAACATTATGAAGTCATCAAAACATAAATGTAGGGGAAATGTCCAAGAGAAGACAAATTTGACCTAGAGAATCTATAAGTTTGTGCATTTGTGAATAACACGTATATTGATCTGCAACCACCCTCCCGACTGCTTTTGGTTTTACTGCTGACAAAACTAGCCTCTTTTTCCACAGCCAAAACCCTCTCAGAGGTTTTTGTTCCTTCTGCCTATGTAGTTCAGACAGGTTCACACTGATTTGGTGACAGGTGTGACCAAATGAAAACTGGTGGGATATACTCATTTCCAAACGCCGGGTCCTCACACCCAACACTTTCTTAGCGAGTGTGCCTCACCACTGTGTACACAGCACTGTGAATTGAGCCAAAATGCCCTCTGAACAGACAGGCAGAAGGCACACGAGATCCCAAAGAGGGACAAGCACACAGGAGCACATTTTCAGATCAAAAATATGCCAATATACATTCGAAGGGGGAAGAACGTAAAACTCAGTTATGGATTCTTTTGGGGGGAAAAACATTCAGATGAGTTTTCAGAACTTGCTGCAACGATGAAGGAGTCCCACTGCACTGGGAATGGTAAGACAAATACAGTATTTTTACTGGTTATTGTGTCCTTGAGATGTTACTAAGGAGAGCCCTACAAATGAGTGAAATGCAATTCCTGAAACAGCTAGGTCTCTGCTAAATACTTAGAGTCAACAATCCTGCCTCACATTCCTACTGAATGGAAAAGCATTAAGAGAAAGCACATAAATAAGACATGCAGCACCTCTGGTAATTTTTGATGTATTCTGAGTGAAGTACTTAAAATACAAAGATATACTTTAGGTATCTTATATATTTTATCTATAGATGATATATTACATATTTAATCAAGAGGCATGCACAAACTTCTAAATAACCATTAAAGCTTTCCATTTAGAACAACAAATGACCTTAGCAGAGTCCCGCAGTGCTCAATCTGTATCTGGAAAAGAGAGTGTGTATGAATAACCTTGTCATGGTTTAACCCTGGCCAGCAGGTCAGCCCCACGCAGCCGCTTGCTCACTCTGCCCTGGTGGGATGGGGGAGAGAACCAAAAGGGTGAAAGTGAGAAAACTCATGGGTTGAGACAAAGACAGCTTAATAGGTAAAGCAGAAGCCATGCATGAAAGCAAAGTAAAACACAGAATTCACTCCCCACTGCCCATGGGCAGGCGGATGCTCAGCCAGCCCCAGGACAGCCGGGCTCCATCACGCTTAACGGTGACTTGGGGAGACAAACACCATCGCTCCAAACATCCCCCCCTTCCTCCTTCCTCAGCTCTATATGCTGAGCATGACACCATACGGGGTCGTTTGGGGTCAGCTGTCCCCGCTGTGTCCCTTCCCAACTCCTTGTGCCCCCCCAGCCCCCTCGCTGGTGGGGTGAGAGCAGAAAAGGCCTTGGCTCTTTGTAAGCACAGCTCAGCAGTAAGGAAAACATCCCTGTGTTATCAGCACTGTTTGCAGCATAAATCCAAAACTTAGCCCCATTCCAGCTACTCTGAAGGAAACCCACTTTACCCTGCCAAAGCCAGCACAAACCTTAGCAAGTTTTATGCTTTGTTTACAGGATGATGCTGTCCACCCACTTTTGGCTCACTAAACAAGCACTCTGTTTGCCTGAGCACCAATAACAACACTGAAGAGACTGTTCTTCAAATGTTAAAAAAAATACCATTTGAAACCCATTAGGCTTGCAAACAGCTAATAAGAGGACAACAGGTTTTTTTGTCCTGAGCACACAGACACAAAGATGAAGAAAACCCTGTATTAGTCAGTCTGAGGTCTGGGAACCATGCAATTAGCTCTGATAACAAACTAGAAGATCAACTGGAGTGTCTGAGGCATTACATCATGACTGAAGGCTAAAACCAGTTTGGTGTCAATTTCTGTGTCACACAGTAAATTCAACATCCTGTGCCTTCAATTAAAGTATAAAGCCAATTACAATGCGCACCTCTGGGTCCCTGATATTAGTACAGTAAAAATGAGCAATACCCTCTCATATTAAAAAAAACTTTGCAGATTTTTTATATACAACATTGTACAGAAAGAACATGTCTGTGGGTCACTCAAATTTCATTTGAAAAGCTGTCCTCAAATGAATTTCAAACTATCTTTAATACAGAGGACGGGCTGTAAAAAGAAATAAATGGGTCCTTTTGTTTCTTGCTGCTAAGTGGCACTGGGAGCTGCAAAATATATTAAACTTTCCTAATACTATTCTGATCATAAGCAACCATAAGGGTCACACAGTAAGGTTTGATTGCCAAGCACAGAGGTAATTGCTCCATCATAAACGGAGATGAATTTTGATACTACTGAAATATGATATTTTAAAAACCTCTAAAAATCTCTGGGCTAGGATTTCTGATGTTATGCATTTCTTACCAATATTCTTTCACTATGATTAGATGGGTTCAATAACCAGAGGAGGAAAAAAGCCTACCTCTAAGGCTGACATGAAGTATGGTTCAGAAATCTACCAAATTCACACATAATGTAATACATATATCATCAAGTAACAACAACAGATTTGAGAATAATTCCTACTATTCAGGCATTTGTGCCACAAAACCGAACAACAAAACCTGGGTTTTCACAAGGCAATCTAGAAGAGCAGTGAAGGACTCAGACCATTCTAGTACATCATGGATTGTTACCAAAAGCAATGTTAGTAATTAGTGTCGTTCTTGACTGATATATTTTCAAAAATAAAATGGAAAACTGTATATAGATACAGATTAAATCCCCCACAGAGGCAGTTTTACTGCAGCAGAAAAGGGCTTTGACAATTCATCTTTCTCCACGCTGAATTCTTTCTCAGTGTATTAGTATTCATATTTTGACAATGACCAAAGTGCTCCCAGAGCAGACACAGCTCTCAAAAAATAATAAAAGAAAAATAAACACAGACATCCTTGATACTTTAAAGATACATGCAAATTCTAACCTATTTGGACTGTATTTATAAAGCCAAAATTACATCCCAGATCCTGTGCCTTGTACTTCTGGCTGACAATAGCCAATGCCCAATCCTCTTTTTCAAATGATCTCATTAGCACCTACCTTTCTTCATGAACTTGACAAGAACACTTAAAGGGGACATGGTCCCCATGAAGGCTCAAACATTAATGCCCACCTCAACACTTTTAGAGCTTTGCATTTTTCAGCATGTTTTCCTGATCGCTGTTTTTATAAAAAACACGTTTACATTGTGATTACCGTACTCTACCTAACTCTATCTTATGTTTATGTGGAACTATTTATAACTAGCCTTGGAATTAATTTTTAAAGTCAGCACTTGATTCCTTTTTTTTTTAGTTTGGCTTTCAGTAGTGTGACTAATGTCCTAGATGCTCAGTACAGATTTTTGGGCCCCAGTACTGTGTTCCGGTTTGGCTCTTTCCTTTACAACAGCGTAACTGATGGGTTCAACAGCAACAGGCAAGGACAGGAGTGATGAGGGTGGGGGAAACGCGAGGACACTCGTTGCACGGACAATTATTTCGCTTGCCTTTAAACAGAGGATGTTCCAGCAGGGCAGGGAGCTCAGCAATTAAAACGCACCTACGCTTCCACGGACCGTTTTCAAGTGTGTTTTGGGTCCCGATGACTTTCCCAGGACGCTGTATTTCTTTTAAAGCGGGTTACACGAGTAGCACAAAGAGGAAACCCCGAGTTTTCCGGAGAGAGGAGCGGGGAGAGGGCGGCCTGGAACCTTTTCCCCCCCAGCCCCGCTGCGGCCCCGGCGGGGGCAGCCCGGGCGCCCTCCCCGGGTCTCTTCCCTCACCCCAACGCAACCTTTCCCTGTGATCCACCGCGGGCAGGCACCACATACCCCACGTCCCGCCGGCAGAACTTTGCCGCCCTACGCTCACCGCACACCCGGTGCTGACCCGCTGCAAGTCGGCTCCGGCGCGGATTCCCACCCCCCCACCCCCCCCCGAGGATCCCAAGGCCGCGTTACGAGCCCGGCGCTCGCCTGGACAGCAGGCCGGCAGCCGGGCGGCCCCGGGCGGGCACGGCGCCTGCCCGAGTCGGCTCCCTCCGCCGCGGCCCTTCCGGCTGCGGAGCGCCTGCGCGCAGGGGCAGCATGGCCACGCCGGCCAAGCGGCGGGCACCGCCGCAGCCCTGCGCCGAGGAGCCGGGATCGGGATCGGAGCCGGAGTCGGACTCTGAGGAAGAGGAGGAGGAAGAGGAGGAGGAGGAGGAGGAAGGGATCGATGAGGTGAGCGGGGCCCTCCCGGCGCTGGCGCGGGGCCTGGCCTGCTCTCCCCTCCCCTCCCGGCCCTTGCCGCCGCCATCCCCAGCCCTCGGTCCTCCGCTCTGCAGCCGCTAAAATAAGTTACAAAGCGATGGAAACGATCAGCCGGGCTCACGGAGCCGCGGCCGGGAGCTGCTGGGGAGGGGGGGCTGTAAACCCCCTTGCGTGGCACCCGTGGGGCCGTGGGTTCCTGTGGTGAAGCGAAGGTGACACGGCAGTGTGTGTCCGTAATCGGTGATGTAAAGTGCGTTCGGTTAATCGGTGTGGAGACTTTTACTTTTTGTTTGTTTGATTGGTTGGTTTTTCTCTTTTTTAAAATGTTGGAATCCCGGAGGCCGCAGTCAGTCGTACAGACTTGGCCCTTGCGTGTAGCCTGTCGATTGGAGGCAGCGCCTCAAAAACTATGCTTTTGACACAGAAGTTTTGCTCTAATTTCCTTTTTTTGTATAAGAAAGGTAGAATAAAAAAAGAAAAAAAAAAAAAAAAGAGAGCAAAGAAAACCCCATACTTCCCAGAAATAAAATTTTAATTTATTCTCTGAGCTCTCTTTACATGTCTGCACCTGGACATACGTGAAATTACATTATTTAGTTATGAAACACAATACTGAGGGAGGAGTCTCTAGGAAAGGAAGAAATATACATTGATTTTGAACTCCTATTAAAATCTTTGGATAGTAAGGTAATGTGTCATTTTCACAGGGCTTAAAAGAGTCAAATAATAAAAGTATGGGTTTTAACTCATATTTAAAATAAAATATTTTGGTAACTTGATTGTCTTCATTAGAATCACTTTGAGTTAATCTTAGATGAGGCTTTAGTTAGCTTATGTTAGCAAAGAAAAAAAAACAAACCCTACCTTTCTTAAAAGCTATGTAATGGTAAAAAGTGTAGGTTTAATTGTGCTACCAGTCATATTAACATGATCAAAGAGCACATTTACCATTTTCTAGAAGTGTGTGTCACATCAGATAGGTACTGACTTAGTTTGAGCTAACATATGTTTATAAAGTTCTTGACTAGCACTGCTAGTACTTTGCGCACTGCTCGGTGTTTGTAAACTGATACAAAATGTTGCACTAGTTAGCCATTAAAGCTAATGGCAATAATTCTTGTTTTTTTTTCTTTAATTTTTAAAGTACACAGCACGATGTAGGTAGGACAGCAGGTTTTACTGTGGTGTTTGTGGATGAAGTTTCTTGAGTCTTCAGTAACAGGAGTTTTGAGGATAGTTTCTGTATGTCCTGCACTGGTGTGCCCTACTGAGTTTTATTTGCGATTATGCACTGGACAAAATTTGTAATATAACGCTTCTTTTAATTTAGTAGTTCAGCTTTTGAGGATAATATATCACTATTACATCTCTTTCAGTTTGGAAGTCTTGCTATAAAGATATAATGAGTTTCCCTTGATTCTTATGCAAGACATCGAGGTGTGCATTGCTAATATTAAAGAAATGTACTGAACATTTGTAACTATACAAACTTAGAAATTTGTAGAAACATATACTTAAAGGATATTTGTTTCTCTGTAATTCTCAGCATTTTTATTTTTGCCATATTAGCCTTTCCCTTCGTCTCTTACCACTTCAGGTGAAAAAAGGAAAATCTCTTCCTTTATGTAGTCATTCTGTGAATCTGAGAGCAACAGTAAGATTGCCAGGCAGGACCTGGTTGCTGAGAAGGAGCTTTGCTCACTGCTGTATTGTATGTAGCAGAGTGTTGTTGCATATAACAGCTTGTTTTGCAGGCTCTTGCTTTGCTTTAGATGCAACGCAGGGGGAAGAGAATAAGCACACAGTAGCAAGGCAGGACACGGCAAAACATATGAGGAGGTTTTATTTGCTTTTTTCTTTTTTTAACAGATGAAAGACGGAGGATTTGTAAACTCTCTCATACAAGGCTGTTATTCTGGCTAGTGAAGCAAGACCAGTGCTAGAACATCTAGTGCTCCCGTGGTTTATATCAGTTTTTTGGCTATGATTTGCACAGTATTCAGAACCGCTGTACACTGTGTTTTGTTCAGAATTGACTGACTTAATCATTCAGTGAGATCCTTGAATTTGAAAGCAGTCAGAAAGTTCCTGAATGCCAGGAGTGAATGCTCTACACACAAAAGATACAGTCTGTTTTCTTATATAGGTAGCTTCTCAAGTAAATAAAGTGCTCTCAGTTACCTCTATAGAGCTTCCTTGCTTTACTAGACCATAGAAGAACATCTGATCATGTCTCCTGATTTTTGTTACCCCCCCGAGGGGTTGTATACCTCTATTTTTGCATTGTAAACAGGCTTTATAATCCCACTGGACAATAAAGACCATGACCTTGATACGGGATTGGAAAGATTGATGAGTCTTAATTGGTGACAAAAGTAAGACTTAGTTGTTTAGATTATTCAGAAAGTGGAATCCAAACCAACAATTAAAAGGCAAAGTAAATTTGGATGATCTTGGTAGTTCACGGAAGAATAGGCAGGCAAGACGACCTTGGCAGGCAGTACTGTTAATATAGAATACCAGTAAAAACGTTTGGTAGGTGCACAGCATTTGTTCTGGAAGGAGAAGCAGGAGTTCACATTCTGTTTTTGCTGTGACTGGGTCTCATCATGTGCCTGCTGAACAGACTTCCAGAGTGGGGTTAATGATACCATTAGGGTATGAGGAAATAGCAGAAGTATGGTTCTGGATGTAATTGTTTAAATGTCTGCAGCAATCTTCATCTTTAGCCAAGGCATTACACTCCAATCCTGCAGTTTTAGGAGTTTAACTGCCTGGATCAATCCTCTCCACAGTAAGAGTCTATGTGGCTACGATAAACATAATTGTGTGAACCAGATTGCAGGAACAAAGCATTAAAGGTTTGTTCACAACAGTTTGTAAGTCAGTTTTAAAAAGTTACTTTCACAGATGCTCGCTGAAAATTACCGAAGAAATGGTAACTGTAACAATTGCTGAGATTACTGAAAGATGGAAGTTTAACTTCTGATGTTGACCATTACTTGTCTTCATGTTTCTTATAGTTTAGCTTTGTTTTCATATAGCTTCTTGCCAGGTATTTTTCATCACCTCTATTTTGCTTCTTCATAGGAAGTGAATATTGAATTTGAAGCACATTCCATATCAGACAATGACTATAATGGGATAAAGAAATTACTACAACAGGTACTTTGACATCTTGTTACCTGGGTTATACCCACTGATAAAAAGAGTTATGCAAAGTCATCAGTTCACATTATCTGTATAGATTCATAGTATTACTGTCCTTCCGTTCATGAAGATTAAATAATTACAGCCACAGTGAACATGTGTTTCCTAAGTCATGGTTTCAAGAATTTTACCCATTGAACTGTAGAGCTGTTCTTGCACAGTTTTTGTATAATCTTCTCATCTTCATTGTGTTAGTTGCTACCCAGAAAACCTGGTTCAATGTTAATCAGCTTCCTGGGTTGGTGGTTTTGTTTTTGTTTTTGTTTTTGTTTTTTTTGCAAATTACAGCCCCTAAAAAACAGAAAAACAACTGATGTCTCTGTTTGATGTGGCAGCTTCCAGTCTTCTTTTGGCTGTTTCTGTTGGAAACCTATGCTCAACAAGTATTCAGATCATACCAAACTCAAAAGGATACCAGATATGCAAAATGCCAGTTTGCAGAGGGTCAAGGAGTGAGCAATTCAAGAAGCTGATTTTTAGTCTTTACAATATTATATGAAAAGAAGTTAAATAAACAGTCTCAGTAGAAATTAAAAATGGAACAGATTATTGCATAACAAATTAGAGAAATTACTGACTTGATTTTCAACTAAGTGGCTTGTGATAATTCATCAGGCCTAAAACTCCTTAATCCTTGTTTCTTCTTTTCCAGTTGTTTCTAAAAGCTCCTGTTAACACTGCTGAACTAACTGATATAATAATACAACAGAATCATATTGGAAGTATTATCAAGGTAAGGCAATTTACATTTGGAAATTAAGTACAGTACTTTTTTTGTTGAAATGACATAACAGACTTTCAGAAGGGGATCCTCTCTTTGCAATTGGTATGCTTTTTGTCTTTGAGAATAATTCATGGAATCATGGGAAAGGACCTCAAAGCCCCCCCAGTGGCACCCCCTGCCCCGGGCAGGGCCCCCTTCCCCCAGCCCAGGGGGCTCCCAGCCCCGTCCAACCTGGCCTTGAACCCTTCCAGGGAGGGGGCAGCCACAGCTGCTCTGGGCACCCTGGGCCAGCGCCTCACCCCCCGCACAGGGAACAATTTCTGCCTTAGAGCTCACCTAAATCTGCCCTCTGCCAGCTTAAAACCATCCCCCCTCATCCTATCCCTACACCCCCTGATCCAGAGTCCCCCCCCACCTCTCCTGTCCCCCCTTTAAGCCCTGGGAGGCCGCTCGAAGGTCTCCCCAGAGCCTTCTCTCTCAGCCCGGCCCCCCAGGGGAGCTGCTCCAGCCCCCCCAGCATCTCCGTGGCCTCCTCTGGCCCCGCTCGAGCAGCTCCGTGTCCTTCTGCTGTTGGGGGCCCCCGAGCTGGCCCCAGCACTGCAGGGGGGTCTCCCCAGAGCGGAGCAGAGGGGGAGAATCCCCCCCCTGGCCCTGCTGCCCCCCCTGCTCTGGCTGCAGCCCAGGGCATGGGTGGGTGTATATGGTATATAATTCTTCTGTGGGAGATGAAATTTTCCATACCTGCTTTCAACCAA